CTGCCTTCACAGCCCGTCACACGCAACTTCTTCACCTTCAACTTCTTTAGATAAAGAATGCAAACCAACGAACAAGACTCGAAAATACAGTGCCTTTGTCCAAATACCTAGTTATTTACTAGGAACTGCCTCTCCCCTTCCACCAGTCCAGGGCCACAAAAGCAACACGCTGTAGGAACAGCAGAAACCACGACCCCGGCTGCCCCCCGCTACCACGCGCTGCTTAAACTTCAGCAAGGGGAAAAAAATCAGGCCTTGATTTTTCTTCTACCAGCTACATTACTGAAACAATTATTTTTAAATCCTAACGTTTAAACCCTTAGTTGCTTTTCAGGTGACTGCATTTAAGGGTCTATTTTCTTAATTAACCGGAAACTAGGCCACTGGATCTATTACATAAAAATTTTTGTTAAGTGAAATTCCAGGTCTCTTGCAAATGGCTTTTCAAACAAGACAAGTTTTTTTCAATCTTTGCAAATAAATTCAACGGGGCCAGAAGGGCACGGGAGAAAAGCTGCACTGTTTATATCCAAAAAGTCTTTTAACTGTGTATACATGGCCTTTTTGAAAATAATTACTTTCTAATGCTCTTAGTCACACAGGTAATTTGTCTTACAATAAAATATGTATAAGCAGCATGCGGCACACAAAGGCTCACTCTACAGGAGTCATCCTGCACGCGATTATTTCCCTCTCTCCAGCCAGTCCTCCCAACAGCCTCCTCTATTTCAACCCACCTCCTCGTAGGGTAGGGAGGCCCGAAACGGAGGCGGCCGTGTCGAGCAGAGGGAGACTCCCTCCCAAAAAGAAGGGCGAGTTGGTCGCAGCACTGAGAAGCTGCACTTTGGAGGTGGGAAACTGCCTGCAAAGTCCATGTCCCCTTGCCCCTCCGAGGAGAAACATCTCTGCTCGGCAGGTGGGCTGAGACCTGCAAACTCATCACACCAAACCCCAGCCCACCAGCTGCCTGGCACCGCAAGAGCTGAACCACCAGCAGGCGTTTCTCATTACCTCCTCCAGCTCCGGTGCTTTACCATCAGAGCGATTAAAATATCTTATTTTACTGAGATATTTCTGGATTGCATTATGTTCCAGCCTGGTACTACAAACGCTCGGGAGCTGTGGGTGCTGATGATTTCTCATCACTGAGACACGAAATCCTCCCGGCCAAGTTCAATATTAGTGTAAGTGCACGCAAGATTAGTGACTGAGATGGGGGTGTTAACCACTTCTGCAGACGCTTAACGCAGCTTCCTTAATCAGGCAAAAATCCTATTTAAGCCCACAGTGCTTTTTGCTGTAAAAAGATAGAGAGAAAATAATGGTGATATGCAGCAGATCGCTTTCTGAGCTCTGTTACTCTACTACATGCCTGGATTAAGTCCAATAAATGGAGTTATTCTAGATATACACCAATTTAAGTGGCTCACAACCCCGTCCCCTGGAGTCGCTCCAGGTTTATGACATTAGAACAGAGTACCAAATTTGGTGCCTTTAAAAAATTATACCTCTGTTTGTGAAAAAGTGGCTCAATAGATTGATGTCCAAACACTGAGAATATAAACAAACATACATTCCTTGGTCAAAGCAGTATGCGGTTCGTAGCTCATCAGACTGCATATTGTTTCAATGTATTATAAACTTTGTGGCTGAAAGTCTCCTGCTCTATGGCTATAATATTTTGATGAGCACAAATGGAAAAAAAAAAAGGCAAGAAAAAAAACCCCAACAATATTGGAACCGAATTATTTGCTAGCGAGGAAATTGGTTTTAATAGTATATACTTAGGTTTTTATCCAGAGAAAATGAAGTCAGTTTTTACCTAAAACACAGGAGGGCCTAGACCTTGCTAACAACTACAAAGAGGCTTAACAAGCCAAAGTGACAATAGTGCTATCAGGCATCACCAATTTTAATTTTACTGGCCTGAAGGTGTAAAGTACAGTACACGAGTGGGGAATAACAAGCTCGTGGCCTAAAACATGAATGCTGGAATAGGAACTGTCACAAACACCGTTACAGCCACCAAAGAGTTACACGAAAAAAAAAAAAAAAAAAAAAAAGAAAGCAAAACTCCAAAGAAACTTTTACGCAAGCTTTTATAAGCCAAAAGCATTTTTTACAAAGTGCCACACCTTTGTTAATTTCCTAATAACAAACGCGAGTGGAACTGACAATTTGGCTAACCTGCTAAGCGTGCCACGTACCGACCCATCCGCCTGACACTACAGCAGGCAAAGAACACCCTTCCCAGCCATTAGGAAACCACCACCAGCATCATCCTTCGATTTCGGGCGAGCCCAAGGCGGCAGCACCGGCAGGGCTGGCAGCAGCCCGCTGGGTTGCCTGGTAGCCCGGTGGGTTCGCCCGGTAGCCCGCTCACCACCGCACACACACACACACACCTGAATGGACGGTGAACACCGTCTGTTGCCATGGCAGCCTGATCTAATTACATGACTGATCAGGGCTGGAGTAAGCGCGCTGACAGCCTGCACCGCTGACATGTCGCTACATGATGAGAGAGAGAGAGGCAGACAGACAGACAGACAGACAGGCGAGCACGGAGGAAAAATCTATCGACCTCTGTCTTATGTAAAAAGTGAGATTACAGCCACCCTCAAAAAAAAAAATATATAATAAATGCTGCCCGTAAAATACCAGGCCAGTTTCACGAACAAATTAGGTTGCAATAACGTGCAATTACAACTTACTATTATCTCGCAGCACCGCAAAAATAACTACAGCGTAATATTTTCCCCGGCCATTCTCAATTTCCCTCTCCCTCATTCATAACCCTTGCTCCGTATGATAAAACCGAACCCTCTCCATCACCCGCACAGAAATAGATTAACGCGAAGCCGGGATTTTCCTTCAGGGGAAGGCTTCGTTCGAAACTGAAATTAAAAGTCCTTGACTTGTCGGTGTGTAAGCAGAGTAACTCCCTGTGCCTGACCACAGCTGACACGTAAAGTAACCATTACTGCATAAAATACATAACCGTGAGCGTTAAAGGTTAAAGTGTAACCTGCGTTACAAAATATGAATTTCTTTACCATACGAAAGGGAAAAGGTCTCCGGCAAAGGTCATCTACCTGCACCCCTGCCCGAAAAACGCTGGTAAAGGAGGAAGGTTTTTTTTACAAACCCGGATTTTTCTTCTGCCTGGGCATAACAGGAATGCTGAAAATTTTCCCCCAATTCTATCTGGGAGTTGGGGCTCACGGGGGAGAGATGCTGCTCGGAGGAGTCCCTATTACACAGCATACGGTAAACAAAATAAAAATAGCCTGTCGCTCTCGTTATCTACACAGTGCATTATATAACGGGCTTCCGACTTGTTTTCTTTTCTATTATTACTCTTCAGCAATTCCTCCTCTTCAATAACATGTAAATCGCTCCCAATTCTGTCATTTTATTATTATCGCTATTACTACTACAGTAGGAGCTAACGTTTTTCCAGCGTGCTTTAATTTAGACTTTAATATCCTCTGGAATCGCATTGACGGATTCACCACCCACAGCCGTACGAGGGGTCATTTATTTTGTTTTCTGCCGGTAAATTACGATGCCTTAGGCCATGGGGAAAAAAAACCATCAAAAAACAACCAAACCCAAAAAAAAAACCCCAACAAACCCCCAAATCCAGAAAACCAACACGCATCAACCCCAACCCAAACCCCCACCGCCCGACCACCAGCAAACCCCGAGGAGCCGGGGGGGGAAGGGGGAAGGTGAGCGGCGGGCGGGCGAGCAGCGGCCGCCGGCGAGCGGAGCCCCCCCGGGGCGGCGGCGGGGAACCCCGGCCCCGCTCC